TCTAGAATAAGCCTGCTAATTGTAAAGCTGTAAAGCTGAATTGTAAGCTGTATCCCGTCGCATGTCAGCAGACCCAGCTCCGTGGGTAGAGTCCCAGTGTGAGAACAATAAGGCAGAGCAATGAATTCCAAGTTCGTGAGAACGCCTATTTCAGTTGGGATGCTGCCCCTCAGTTTGGGGTTCATGTAGGCAGAGATGCTTCGCAAGGACTGCAAAAATGAAATTTCCATTGGAAAAGTCCCATCCAATCGATTTGTGTACATCCATAGATGTTTAAAGGAAGACTCATGAGTCAAGGTCGCAGTTGTGGGCACGGTCACATTGGGTGGCAGCTCACAGGGATTCTTATTGACCATCTGATCATAGTCTTCGAGGTAGGTAACTTGATCATCTGGTTGAGCATCTTTAGCGAACCAATGGCATTCGTGGTGGTTGTAGTCCAGCCATTTCTCATTGTTTCCCCGGGATACATTTCCATTGGTAGAATAGTAGAAAGTTGCCAGAGCAAATCGCTGTAGAAACCGTTGGTGATCTTGCAGATATGTCTCCAAAGAGGGATCTTGGAGGGTCCATTCGAGTGCCTGACTCTGGGGAGATGGCATTGCACTATCACCATCATCTCCAATTACAGCCCTGGCAGTAGCGTCGGGAAGCACAGTCTGGAGAATAAAACCTCTTGTAGTGAATACAGTTGGTGGTGCTGTTGGTGGCACAGTTGGCATGGCAGTGGCCTCTTCTGATGAGGGGACCCCGTTGTTCTTGATGCCCACAATAAGGCCCACAACTACAGAGAGCAGCAACCAAAAGCAATCCTACTCCCAGTGGCCTGTAAGAAACTAGCTCATGATTCCTAGATCTTGGTTCCACCGTTCTTGCTTCTGTCAGAACTTGCTCAGGGTCTTCATCCTCCACAGCTCTGGCGTCCACCAGCCCTCCTTCCTGGCCACCAAAAGGCTGTACACCATTATCACCAGCACTACTTGGAATGTTTCCCATGCGGCTTCCGTGCTGGTCTTGCTCAATTCTGGCGTTCACTTCTGAAAGTGTTGGTGCTTCTGCATATGCACCTGGCTGATCAAAGATTCTGTGATCATTGCGGTTCCCAGCAGCACAAGAGACAGCCCCTTCTGTTTGTGCCTCTGCTGTATTTGATGCTTGTACATTCTCATAAACAACAAATACATTGTTTGCAACCTCCTTTTCATGGATTGCAGCTTGGATGGTTTCCACCTCCTTGTTGGTTGCTACTTGAAGTGCTGCCGCTCCTTCCACACCATAAGGCTGTTGTTGGTAAGCTCCAGGCGGGGATCTGCCTCGGATGGATATTTGCCACCCCTATCTCAATTGTTTGAGTTGTATCAAGGGTATCAGTGCCGATGGCTTCAGCTGAGCCATCGGAAGAAGATTTTGATTTGTTCTCAGCAGTTGGTTTGAATGAGGCCTTCAACTGGGCTTCTTCCAGCTCTTCACGGCTGTTGAAGAGATCATCTGATAGCTTCTCATTGTCATTTTGGCTCTGGCTCTGATCGTCTTCCTCGCTATTGCCAGTAGCAGCAGTATGGTCTGTGGATTTGCCTTTCTCCATTGTAACTACTAGTAATGAGATTTGTGTCGTCGACCTGCAAGAGGTTCAAAGTTCAAAAGTTGTCTTCGCTCCGTTTGCGATGATGTGCTCTTGCTGCCGGGAGCTGCCGTGCCGCTGGATGTAGAAGGGGTGAAGACGTGACAGCCAATAAGTGTGATTTTTTTTTAAAAGTCCGCCCTACTCTAGTAGAGGACGATCCGCAATCGACATCCTTATTCACTTTACGGTACTGGATGCAGTGACATACGCACGTGTGTGACGTGGCGCTTTAACGCTAGTTTTAAGTCAAATCTCACAATATTCCGATCGTAGTTCACTCTGAATTCAGAAGCAAGTTCGGTTGGAATTTGCACATCAAGCAAAAGAAACTTCCTGCGTACATTCTACGCAGCCGTATACTAGGTGGTTGGCCATTGTCAAACAATTTTGAAAATTCGCTCTATTAACAACGGTAACTCAAAGGTGTAACTCAAATTACGAAGTTACTCCTTCTTCTTTTCTTTATCATTTCTTGCGACTCTTACTAACCATAAAGCCGCAAGTACTGTCGTTTGTTATTTATTTCTAGGTTCATTATCTCACCATGACAACGCTTGGTCAGTCGGGCAAGAATACGGTCATTCCTTTGGTCTCCGAGTACAATGCGAGTGAGGTTGCTACTACTGAGTTGTTCCATTCTTGGCAACATGCTGGCAATAACATCAAGCGGAAGCATGATATGATTGTCCTGGCAGATGAACAAGAACCGGAACACGTCCTTCGAGTCATCAAGGAGTTCGATCAAGTGACCGGCAACTCGACTTTGAATTTGGACACGGGAACATTGCGAGCTAACTTCTTTGTCAAGTGTCTTCAAGGCTCGGCTCGAGACAAGTGGAACGTTATTCGAGCAGCGCGTCCTGGTGCAGCTGTTGCTGACTTCGATGCCTGCATTACTTCGTTCATAGCCAAGTTCCTTGAAGATACGGATCTCGCCGATCAGACGCGATACTTGCAGACAACGACCAAGCCTTTCAAGCTCGATTGCAAGACCTTGTGGTCTCGATTGGAGTACATCAACACCTTGATGGCGAAGTTCCCTGGTGCTGGCAATGCGAACCCTTTTGATGCTCCTACTCTCAAGATGTTGTTTTACAACACGGTGCTTCCTTCGTGGAAAGACAAGTTTGCTGATTCCACTCATAACATTACGGTTATCGGTCCAGTGCAGATGGTTCGGTTCTTTGCTCGTCAAGAAAAGAACTACAATGCTCGCCAACAAGGCTCTCGTGGTGGCTATGCTGGTCGAGCACGTGGTCGTGCTGGACGCGGATTTGGAAGAGGTGGACGCTCTTCTGGTTATCGTTGTACCTATGGTCAAGAAGATGGTTCTCGAGTTGGTTACTATCCTCCTTCCCAGCGCTTCCATCGCGGAGGATGGAGTCGAGCTCCTACCTGGACGTACAACCGTAGTCCTCCCCGAGAATACCAACGTGGACAACCAGACGGACAGCAACGCAACAACACTACTCCGGTGCGCAACTTTGCCGGACGTTTCGGTCATGGTGGCTATGCCTCATCACCTCGTGGTCGTGGACGTGGACGTGGTTACAGTCCTCGCCGCAATAATTTTGTGGCTGACGGTGATGTTCGCGACGATGATGTGTTCCATGTCGAAGAACAATCCTCTACGGTTCCTGCTGCTGCTTCAATGCCGCCTCCTGAGGAAACAGACGAGATGTATTATCAGGAAGAGTCCCATTACTTTGATTCCATGACAGGGGGTTACGATGACTATGAAGAGTCCTATGGATACGGTGGCGACTACTGACCACCAACAAGGGTCTTTGAGAATTATGCAGCGGCGGCTGAAGGGATCGATGTGGACAAGGACTTGGTGCCAAGGGCCCTTTGCGTCCTACATAGTATACAAACTAAACCGTCTGATAGACCGTTGTTAGTCCTGATGGACTCTGGTTCTAGTGGAACCTGGATTAGTGACAAGGCGTTGCCTAAGGAAACAGTCCCTCGTATCGGTGACGTTGTGGAGGGAAAACGAAATTTTTATTTTCTCGTCAGACAATCCGCTGAACGGTGCCGTGACGAACCCATATACCTCAGGCGCACAAGGGCGCCCACTTAGGATGGGCCTAGTGTAAGTATCGGTGACATTGTGTCTACCACAACATTGGCGGGCAACGTCAATTCGAACCGTGTTGTTACCTTAGACCGGTTGTGTTTTCCAGAGTTCTACAAGTCCCGTTTCATCGATGTCGCTCATGCTCGAGTCTTTTCTGCGAGCCAGGTTCGGTATGATATGATCATTGGACGCGACATCCTCCTTGAGATGGGATTGAAGATTGACTTCAAGGGACACAAGATGACCTGGGACGAGGTTAGCATCGACATGAGACCTTTTCCTGCATCTTCGGTTGACAAGAAGACTCCTCCTGCTACATCTATGTTCCTTGATCTCCTCGAAGCGGATCTCGAAGATGACGACACCTTGCCTACAGTGGCTTCTACAGATTGCTCTGAAGACGACTTGGATGACGATTTGGACGATATGCTCCCCGAATCCGAAAAAGAGTCTTCATGTTTTGCAACTCTCGAAGAAGAGAAGGCAGCTAACTTGGGTTACAAGACCAAACACATTCTCGAATCCAAGTATGAGGGGGCCGACATTACCGCAGTGGTTCGGTCCTGCACTCATGTCTCTCAAGAACAGCAGAACGAGCTTCGTGATGTCCTTGAGAAGTATGACACCTTGTTTAGTCCTGAACTTGGTAAATACACAGGCGGACAGATTCATTTGGAGATTGATCCAACAGTTCCTGCCCATCGAAGCCGTCATTATACTGTTCCTCATACCAACAAGCAATTTTCAAGAAGGAGTTGGATAGGTTGGTTTCTGTCGGAGTCCTTGAAGAAGGCAGTCGTTCCAAATGGATTGCTGGTACTTTCATTATTCCTAAGAAGGATGGTCGAGTCAGATGGATCTCTGATTTTTGTGGTCTCAACAAGGCAATCAAACGCAAGGTTTATCCAATTCCACGCATTGCTGATATCTTGGCACGACGCAAGAACTATGCCTTCCTCACCAAGTTGGACATTTCCATGCAGTATTACACCTTCGAACTTGACGATTTCAGTTCCGAATTGTGTACCATTGCTACGCCCTTTGGACTTTACAAGTACAGACGCCTTCCTATGGGCGTTTCTCAATCTCCCGACATTGCCCAAGAAATCATGGAGAAATTACTCAAAGCTCTCGACGACATCGAAGCTTACATCGATGACATTGGCATTTTCAGTTCTGATTGGCGCTCTCATCTCGACAAGCTCGATCAAGTACTCAAGATCCTACAGGATGCTGGATTCACGATCAATCTTTTGAAGTGTGAATGGGCTGTGCAAGAAACAGATTTCCTTGGACATTGGTTGACTCCCATCGGCGTCAAACCTGTAGTGAAGAAAGTGCGCGCCATCCTGGACATGAAAGCTCCTACTGATATCAAGCAACTGCGTTCGTTCCTCGGTCTGGTGACTTATTACCATGATATGTGGCCTCGTCGTTCTCACACCTTGGCTCCTTTGACAAAGCTTATTGGTAACAAGAAGTTTGAGTGGACCGACGAACAAGAACAGGCTTTCAAGGCCATGAAGGCCTTGGCAGCAGCTGATACCTTGCTTGCATATCCTGATCACAACGTGCCTTTCGAGATCGATACGGACGCCAGCGATTATCAACTCGGCGGTGCGATCAAACAAAACGGCCGTATAGTGGCTTACTACTCCCGCAAACTCAATTCCGCACAGAAGAATTACACTATGGGGTGTCCGCGTACCTTTAGCATTGTTTGCGAAATAGCACAAGACATTTTCCTAATTCTTTGTACGTTACCCCCTAAATCCAATCACTCCCATATCATTGGTTATGTTAAGTAGGTTCGGTCATTCTCGGACTCAAGAAAGTTAACTTTTATACGTTCTAGATATATCTTATGTTCTTATCTTCATATTCAGCACGAAGAAATTTATCTTCGGGCAACTCTTGTCACAGCGAAAATAGAGGTCGACGGATCGAATATCACCGACCATGGCACAATCAGCCACTGTTGTTGCTTTGCCGTCCTGTTGTTGCTTTGCCGTCCTGTTGTTGCTTTGCCTGTCGTGCTGCCGTTGCTTTGCTCCTAGTTGAACGCGAAGTCCTGAGAGTCGAGAAACTCAGGAGAGGGGGTGCATGGGCTGGGAGGAGAAGGACGAGAGTTGCGGGTGAAACGAGAGTGGCGACTGCGGCGTGGAGGAGGAGGCTTTGTGTTAACTCTGAGTCTGGCAAAAGCTTCCTCGTCCTCAGAAGAGTCCAATGCAGGGGGGAATGCGTCATCCTCTTCCTCTGAGGCGTGGAATGTTGTTTCAGAGCCACTGCTATCGTCGTTGTTGTTTGTGCCGTTGGTGCCATCGGCTCGATCATCCTTGGTGCGGTCCGCTCCATCAGCTTCATCGTCCTTGGCCTTGGCTTCCTCTTTGGCAAAGACCACTGCCATGACGTTTCCTTCCACGTGAATGACAGCACCCATCGATGTGAGAGCTTCTTGGACTTGAGCCACAACTCCAGTGGGCATCCAACCAGAAAGGAAAACGTTAGAGGTCATTGTTGCTGCCGGTGTGATCTCTGCTGCTGGTGTCTGCTGCTGTGCAGAAAGGAAAAGAATGAGATCGAGCTACAACAAGCCAAGAACAAGCACACCACTATTTGGCGGCAATCTCAGGTTTTGGTGTTGGCGGCAAGCAAGGCTAGCTTCACTTTTGAATGCTTTCAAAGCAATTTCTGTGGGGCAGAATATTTCATTGTTGCCATCGACGGACCTCATTATTTCTTGATTTGGAGCAATGAAGTGGAGTCTACACTGGGAATGAAAAACTCTGCAGAAACGCCCTTTTTGAGTCCGCAGAAACACTTTTTTTCCTGAAGCAGGCTGGCGTGCACTCTGCAGAAGCCCTCGAACTCTGCAGTTCCGAAAGCCGGCATGGCTTTTTCTGCCGGGAGGTGTTTTTTTCTGCCAGGAGGTGTTTTTTTTCTGCCGGGAGGGTGTTTGTCTCTGGCAGATGACTTTTTTTCTGCCAAAAGCACCTGAAAACTGCACAGAATGGCTCGCAGAGTCGATTCATTGTTTGGCAGAAGGATTTT